TCGAATGGTGCCTATTTTAAATCCGATGAGTATTAAAAAAGTTACGATCGTTTAAAGTGAAACACCCAAAACGCTGAGAACTTTCCGGACAACCTAATATTTGTGAATGCTAGAGAGGGAGAGTTGGTTTATCGTTTTATACCGAGTATTTCGGTGGTTCTGTGGATGTGAGATTGCGGGAGAGAGAAAAGGGAAGAGAGGAAGAGAAAAAAGAGAGAGACAGCAAAGCATCTGGCAGCGCACTATAGGTAACTTGCCCAACCAAGCGGTTACACTTGTAACAGTAGAATTTGCCTCGCCTCGAAGCTTGAGGTCGAAGGGCATCATTGGCGGCGACGATGGCAAGACATCCATTCGGATCGAGTTGTGCACAAAATTTACCGTATGATAACATAATTACGGTTATTTGAGATCGACGTCATCGAGATAACACGAGAACTCGTACGTACCTCGGCTTTCCGCGCCTTTTCTGCGAGTTTTTGTTTCTTCTCTTCTTCCATACGGAGGCGCTTCTCTTCCAACGCTCTCTCTTTCTCTTTTGCAGCTTCTGCCTTTTTCTGAGCGATCTGAACATTCGTGGTATTCAAGGAATCATTGATCAAGTGAATGTTGAGCTCTAGAACCACTAAACCGACCAGTTTCATTTTCTCCTCTTCTTTGGCCCGCCTTTTCGCCTCCTTCTCCTCCTCCGCTTTCTTCTAAATATATGAATAATGACTAGAAGAAAAAATGAATGAATAATAGGTCTCTATCATTTATTGAACGCACCTTCCGCTCTTCCTCCTTCCGTTTCTCTTCCTCCTGTTTTCTTTTGGCTTCAACTTGGTTATGCGTCATTACTTGCTGAAATAATAGGGAGTCTGCATTATATGGAGCATTTCAATCGCTGAAACCTACATCCGGCAGAAAACTTACCATTATTAACGCTTGCTGCAACATCAACAACTTTTGCGGATCCGTTGTTAACGAGCTGAGCTGTTGCATAGCGGAAGACAACTGGAAACAACCTAACTAAGATTCAATCTGAGCCGATTGGGCCCTTCCGGAGATGAAATGCAAAATTCTGATTCTTTCTTGAATAGGGTTACTAAAGCTATACGTTAAATTTGATGATGAGAAAACTGAAAAGAAACTATGCCCAGAATTAACCTGTACACACATACCTCTGCCATTTGTGTAGACGTCATGTTCATACCCATCCCATTCAAAGCGGCTATCGCTTGTTTCGATGCAGCTACCGCCGACGAGGCTGCAGCGGCTGCCGATGACGCTGCAGCAGCTGTTGATGACGTTGTAGCTGCTGATGATGACGTTGCAGCTGGAAATAAGAAACAACTGCAATAACCTTTTTACACAGCTGATAGCGTCGAAATCAGTCGGGGCTGTGTCAAAGGGCATGGAATGAGCGTACCCGCGGCCTTTTCATCTCTGGTTGTTTTCTCTCTCAACTGATCACTGACGTCACTATAGACGAGAATGGGCAGGGCTCAAAAAAATGCATAAGTGCATAAGTGCACGCCGTCAGAATCCCGTAGCACATTTTTTGAGCAAATCCTTGCGCATTAGGCGTAGAACATTTTTTGAGCAAATCCTTGCGCATTAGGCGTAGAACATTTTTTTGAGCAAATCCTTGCGCATTAGGCGACGCCCCAAAAGGTGACTCAACCAGGTATACTAACTAGCAACGGCAACGCTGAGTGAAGCACAATAAGGCTGCGTTCTTAGTTCGCGTCAACATACACCAGCGCCAGCTACTAGGAAACTATAGATATCGATCTGCCGAGCGCCAGCGTATGCCAGCGTACGCGAGCGACTAGGAAAGTATGGATATCTATCTAGCGAACGCCAGCGTATGCCACAGTTTTCGCGGGCGCGTTGAGCTTAAGCAAAACTGCCCGCGAAAAGGCTGCTGTACGCTGGCAAACGCTGGTGCATGCCAGATCGACATCTATACTTTCCTAGTCGTTCGAACGCTGCCGTATGCTGACGCAAAGTATGAACGCATCCCAAGGGAAGATGAAAACAGCTCGATGGAATGACCAAGGGCTACCAAAATAATTTTTTTCTCCATCAAGGACGTTTCGAGGAGAAAACAAATCCACAAGAAAATTTATAAAAATGAAATAATCACCAGCTGCTGTGTCGCCATTGGAGGTGCTAGCGTTCGACGTGCTTGGCTCAATAGCAATGACGTCTCTGTCATCGTGCGTAGAAGCGGTCTAAAAAAACAACGCTTAATACTGAAGTACAAGACGGAAGTTGCTAACAATTAACGTTACACAAATCAGTAACCCAGGACCCATATGAAGCAGAGTATACACATAGTGCTAGCCGACGTTCAACCCAAAAATAAAGGTAAAGCATAGTGAGCCTAGGTTAATCATTCAGAAGTAGGAGCCTCACCTACAACGGATTATACAATTAATGGCGAACAGATGAAAAACATGCTTTATTCACCAATGATGATAATCACAGTATAGCTGAATTTGAACAAAACAAGTTAATTGACAGTGCTAATCACAGCATGCAACCATCACCGAACACCTGAAGCGAGGTGAAAGAAAAAATGAAGGACGCAAGAGCTGGATGCTCAGATGAGACCACAGAATGAACGAATATATCTAATAGTACAAGGGATTACATGTACCACAGTTAGGTGTGGTATTCACAGATGAGTACAGATCAAAAACATAGGGCACCATTAACCCTTCACTGCCCCAGTTCTCGAAGTTCAGCTCGGAGCTTCGAGTTGTCCGGACATTAGTCTCCACGGGCAGCTTGACCTCTTGAGCACGGATCCACTTGGCCAGGAACCGCGCCACAGGCGCCGGCATTGCATGCTTTTTTTAGACTCCGGCGCGTGTAGCACGAACTCCAGTGGGTTTCTTCCCGAGCAATGCGCTAGAGCAGGTATTTAGGTAGACGTGAAAACGGGAAAAGACGGGTAAATTGGCACCCTGTTATATTAATCCTTTCCTTTGCTAAGGCTCAGCCCTAGACTGCGTTCATACTTGCGGCAGCGTCCACCAGCGATCAATAGCGTCCACCACAGTTTCGAGCGGGCGGCAACGTCATCAACTAGGAAAGTATTGATATCGACCTAGAGTCAGCCAGCGTTTGCCAGCGTCTTCCAGCTACCAGCAGTGTCTTGAAAGCAGGGAAGTAAAGATATCGATCTAGCGTCGACCAGCGTCTACCAGCGTCCAGCAGCGTGTGAGTGGAGAGTATGGGGCGATAGGAGGGTAGCAGACAGCTGGTAGAGTATGGGGAGATAGGAGGGTAGCGCACTGCAGTCAACTACCCTCCTATCGCCCCATACTCTCCACTGCGGACGCTGCTGGTCGCTGGTACGTTGGCGAAAGCTGGACCGATAAGATATCTCCCTAGCCGCTGATGCTGCCGAACGTTTGGAACGCTGAGGGAAGCTATTGGTTGACGCCGACTGCATAAATATGAACCCAGCCCTTGCGATAAGGCAAGGAGCACATCTGTAATCTCCTTGGGAGGAGGAGGGTGTAGACGAGCAGAAGCAATCCGCGCTATCATGCGTACTCCCTTGAGCCAATCCGTAGCTTTCTTGGCATCCCATGCAGATGTGAAATTCGTGTTCAGCAGGTCAAACTACCCGGGCGTACAAGTTTTCAACGAATTTGGTGATTTAGGGCATTTTGGCGCCGTCGCCTGTGGGCACACGTAGGCGGCTTTGAGCCGAACGAATGCGACACTCGTAAGGAGATCAAGGAACCACTGAAGGCGAATTTTTTAGCCACGCTTGCCCCTGGACAAAAAGCTGCTATAAAAAACTGGTCTAATTTCGGATGACTGGGGCAGTAAAGTGTAAATAGCGCCCGAAATGGCTTCTAGCCCTTCGATAGAAAACCTATTCAGTATTATCTCCACTAAAGGAGTACGTCATCGATTTGAGACTTTTCAAGCGCTGCTAGGTGGGCATGCGAGCAGTAACCTGAGTTTGAGAACGCTGATTTAGACCGCCACTAAGTGGTATAAGCCGAGAAGCAATCATTTCTGTAGATTCCTTGGAGTGAATGGATTCTTTGACGGAATGCATGATGATGGCGATGCGGCAGTTTTGATTGCAATTACCTGTATTTCGTCGGACGATGACGATCTAACAGGCAAAATCGGTTTATATGGTCGGGATGAATTTACCTTGGGTGCAACCTGTAAGAGTTGATGACGCTAATAAAGGTGAACAACTAAACAAGAATGTGAACCTATTTACCGCGTCACTGCTGGTCTTCTCCTTCTTGGTGATGATCGTGATGCTGAAATAAGAAATAGTAAATACCCTTGAACCGAAGGCTGGAAGAACCCCTGCAAAATAATAACAACGAAATTGTGGTGGCTATTACTATGGTGGAGGATGCGATTGTTTCATCGTCTACTTCGGAAGAAGAGCTTGCCGGCAATCGATGTTGTATACGATGACAAATGCGGAGATAAAACTATGATATCTAGGTGTGATGAGGGACTGCAATGTTGGAGCACCCCTATTCATTGAAAACCTCCACTTTTCATCCATTTCTTCAAAGATAGACCCCGCTAATTACGAACCTACAGTCCCTAAATGACT